AATGCTAAAACGGGCACAGTAAAGACATTTACTGTAAATCTTTCTACGACCGACCAACGGACCACGAGTGCCCCTGTCGGTCAACCAATCACGTACCGCAGTATTCTGTGTCATCGCACGTCACGATGCGCGACACCATAGCCGATTACCTCCGGTACGTGTCTGTACCGCGCACTTTGAATGGCTGCATCTGTATATCCGTTTGTGAACAAAACTAAAGAATACTCGCTGGGACACCCCAGAATAATTTATAACAACTTTGGAGATTTAAAACGGTATTTCGGTTTAGCGAAGGTGAAAGTTTACCCACCCAGACATTTGTACTTTCCAGTTCTACCAACCAAAATTGACAAAAAACTGTTTTTCACACTGTATCATATGTGTGCTGAAACAAAACAGACCACTCCCTGCGAGCACAGTGATGAAGATTGTGCTTTGACTGGCGTCTGGTGCACTCCGGAATTACAGACGGCCTTAGATCTGGGGTATAGAGTGGGTAAAATTTATTAAATGTGGCATTTCGAACTACATCAAGCTGCATCTGAAAAGGAAACAGGAAGCTTCAGGGTTTCCAGAGTGGTGTACGGATGTCGCGAAACAGCAAAGATATATCAGCGAATATTATGAAAAAGAGGGTGCCCGACTGGACCCCGGCAACATTAAAAAGAATCCGGCCAAAAGGCAGCTTTCAAAAATTGCCTTGAACAGTTTGTGGGGCAAGTATGGGCAAAGAGACAGTTTACCACAGACCACCATTGTGAGAAGCCCTGATGAATTGTTCAGGTACTTATTTGCGCCTTATCATGATGTGTCAGCCTGCGAGTTTATCAATGAAAATACAGCCTGTGTTACGTGGAAACACACTAAAGACCACTATACAGGTCATTCAAACACTTAACATTTTCATCGCTAGCTTTACAACAGCCTATGCCCGCTTGGAGTTATACAAGCTCCTAAATGCTTTGCAAGACCGCTGTCTGTACCACGACACAGATTCTGTTATCTTTGTGAGCCGGGAGGGTGAGTGGAATCCGGAAGTGGGTGACTACTTGGGTGAGCTGACCAGCTAAATCAATGCTGGATAACACATCACTGAGTTTGTATCAACAGGGCCCAAGTCGTATGGGTACAAGCTGTCTGGTGGGAAAGCCTGTTTAAAGTTGAAAGGTATTACGTTCAATGTGAACAATTGTGAAAAAGTTAACTTTGAGAGTCTACGGGACTTGGTTTTTGACTATGGCATTAACCCTTATGCTGAGTGCCTGGAATTTAAACACATTTCTATTCAACAGCCGATGATCGTGCATGTTAAAAAGGATTGGCGCATTGAGACCCGGACCTTAAAGAAAACCAAAAAGGTGGTGTACGACAAGTGGGTGCTGCAAGAAACTTTGACATCGTTGCCCTACGGATATTAACACGATGGATGTCAGGTTAAAACACCCTTTTTCATGCATTTTATCCGGACCCTTGAATTGCAGTAAAAGTTATTTTATAAAACAACTCTTGGAGAACAGTGATACCGTTATGACTCGTAAACCCGAAAACATAGTCTGGTGTTACAGCTGCTGGCAACCTCTATACGCTTGTAAAATTGTTGCTTGTAAAATTTCCATACATTAACATGAGCTATCACGCATGTTACCACAACAGCTGTCATCGAGCAACGCTAACTCTGGGTATATTTTGGACAGCGTGTCTCAGCGGTTACGGAAAAATGCCGAAGTATTGTTAAAGACTATGGCCCGCAATGAACCGATAATAGCCTGGAATGAAAAAGGAGAATTTGTGTACAAGGGGGCACCCGTTGAGGGCTTTCACATGATTGATCTTGTCAGGGCTCCCACGCAGCAGGAAGCAGTTGCGGCCGGTAAGAAGCCAAAAGGTTGGGATGTGTTCATGGAAGCTACGGCTAAAATCAACGTACCTGGCACCTTGCTAGCCAACGCTGGTAACCGAGAGCTACTTGAAAAACTCAAGTCTGCCCCGCTGGGGTGTGCAGCATCTGTTAAAACTTTAAAACATCCGGTAGAGATGTCGACGCCCGACCCAGTCTCTAAGATAACCGCAGAAAGGAGACGATCATTAATACCTAGACCCACATGGTTGTCTTTGTATCATTTTTTCTCTCATCTGTGGGTATGTGTGTTTGTGATAAATGACTTGAAATGTATATTAAAAAGCATGAGCAATATAGTTACGTTAAAAATGTTTGTAATAAAATGGCTTGGATGTAATGTCAATTAAAAAAAGCTTGAGCAATATAACCTTATATAACCGCGAATGTATAATAAAAATATTGTATTGATTTTAATTCATATTTTGTGTTCTTTTTTAAATAATAACCACACAGACAATGAAATGGTTCGATTTCATTTTTATTTTAGACGGTCGATTAACATTTATGACATGTTTTAAATTGGCGTAAGTACCCGCATAATTGAACATTCGTATTTTCAAATGGCTTAAAAGGGTACAGAGGTTTCCATCTCACACATCGTCGGTTTTTCAGAAACATTTCAACCATGCGGTCATTCTGGATCGCATTCGTAGAATAGAGTTCTAAAATGTTTCTAAAAGATAAGCCTTTACATCTATGGTATAGAAAAAAGACACAATGTAGGCCGCAGGTCTCTGCAAAAGAATCTTGCAATTGTTGTTGTAAAATATGGAATTAGCATTTCTGTTTAAGAAATCAATAATGTTCTTGAAAAAGAAAAAGGCTTTGGGTGAAAATTTCTTTGAAAAATTCTGCTCCGTCATCATCGGGTAGGTAAATAGCGAGCCAATGTTCGCCAGGGCGGTCATGTGGGTGAGTATTAACTATTAAACTCAGAGGGCGCCGCACCAGTCTCTCGATCGGTAGTGCATCACTGGGGAACACACCTAGAAAATTGTCTCGGGTGTAGTGGTCTCGGGTTAGAATGTATTCCAGCTGTTTGGTGTTCATCTTGTGTAGGTTGTGTGCCCTCCCGCGTTTTTTAGCTGAAGTCGTAAATTACTTGACGCCTCATATCAAGCTCTATCACATTGTCGAACAGCGTGTACGCAACCAGGTTAACTGTAGTGTGTAGCGGTAGTGCGAAGCGTATTTCGGCTCTCAGATTACCCATTGTGATAAGTGAATAATGACCTGTGCACTCGTCGTCGGGGCTGAGGTTGAAAGTGAACAATGTGTAACTGTGGGCATACTCCTCGCGGTCCACCAGAAGTGGTTTGTCTCTCAGACGCTTTCCAGATGTTTCCCCCAGATTAAAATATTCACGGATGCAATGTCCATTCTGGAAGTCTGGTTGAAGCGGTTTAGTGGGGATTTGTTCACCGTCAGCATATAGAGCCAGAAAGTTAACGTTGTAGTGTTTAAAATTGAAGGGGTTTTGTGTAAAACTGCCGCTGAATGCTGCATTGTCCACAAACCCCAAAATTACCACTTTGGGTAACTGCCCAAGAAAGAGGTTTTCTTGGTTACACACGCGGCTCCCTGCAGGCAGACTGAAGACTTTCATCTGTACGCAGTCTATGAGGTATTTAGCGTTGGCCGTCAGGAGTGCTTCGGTGTGTCCCAGTCTGACCCCTGGTGACACTCTGACTCTTTTCACAAACAAAGATGCAGAGAGTACGCTCAGCTTGTGTTCTCCGGCGTTGTTCATTAAGCAGAAAGCATCTCTGTTGCATTTGAGTTTTATTTTCAGGTCAATGCCACTCAGTAGTAGTTTGTCCTGAAAAAACAGGTCTGCGTGAATGTGACACAGGAGCTCCCGTTTTTGGCTTTGCGTCGTGTATGATGCTCTTTTTCGGAACCCCTGATTGGGTCCATCCAAAATTGTGGACTCGTGTTGCCTGGCTGTGTCTTTGTAAAAGAGCTCGGTTGAATACTGCGTCTTCAGCATCTCTTCACTGTAGTTCAGGACAGACTCTATAAAGGCTCTGTAAGTATAACAGTTGTTGCTCTGGCTGATCAACAGGTCTCCTACGGTGATGTCAACCTGGCTGAAGATGGCAGCAGTGGGGTAATTCACCAGACTCACACGGGCTGCCGCATCAATGTCCTGACCGTCTGCTAGAGCAGTCACATAGAGCAGCGTGTTGTTTAAATCTAAATAATCTTCTCCGTTGCCTGCGATGTAGAACTCCAGAGGTGCGTTTTCTGTTAGGGCCGTGAGGGGTGGAACTTCTATGTAAAAGCTTTTCTCCATGCTTGTTTGGGTCGGTGCTAATTGAAATATGTCCAGCTCCGACTTTGCTCATTCTGCAGACCCGCCGTGAACAAAAGCCATATTTAAAATATGTCTCGTTTCGTATCTCATTGATTGCGGTGTGTCACGGCCCTCTTTTTGGTCGACCTGAAGCTTTTCTGAGATGACTGTCTTCTCCTAGCCGGTTTTTTTATCAGGTTTCGGGGGTCCGCGAGGGTGAGATGATGACGTCTGTCTTTTTCTCTAGACACCTCTGCGGATGTATGCTAGACCCGAACCTCCCTGCTGATGTGCAGGCACCTTAGACATGACCGCACTTGCAACATTGCTAACCATGTCTTTGGCGATGTTTTTAGCTGCCGATGCCATGTGCGGCTTAACTATTTCAAACCCTCGTTTTTTAGAAAAGGCACGGCTTTTCTAAATAGTACTCTGAAAATACCCACTATACCTGCGCCATACTGAAATGGTAGCCCAGAAAATCCTGGTAATCGGTAACCAGCCTGTTGTTTGTAGTAGTGTGTATACAAAGAAGGATCCCCGTAACTCTTGATGACCGTCATCCTTTTACTGTAGATGTTTGTCGCTTTCACAGGTCTGAAATGCAGCTTGACGATGACCTTACCAAATGCAAATGACACGTGCTCATTTTGATCTGTCTTTATTTCAATAGTGATGTTGTTAAAATGATCGATGCTCACCGGCACATAATGGGGTTTGTCGTACAATACTGTGACGAATTCACCATCCACACCTCTACACAACGCAAAAGCAGTGTGTAGACGTCGAATATTAACTGGTGTTCTATGATATCTGTATATATACATGGTGTTAAATCCGCAAGTCATATCGACGGGGTGCGGTAATTTTACACTTCCGACACCCAATTTGAAACCCAACATCCTCGCCAGACGGTTATGCACGTGTATAACAAACCGGTTTTCACCAACAATCTTTACCGACCGGCTAATGGGGTTGTATTTAAGACTTATAGTCGTTAACTTGGATTTTTCCGCAGCCCGTTTCATTTCATGCAAGAGCTGGTCTATGTTGCTGTAGTACCCTCGTCCATATAGTTTTGAGCTCTTCGCAGACAAACAGAAAAACTTTGTCTTCATCAAACGTGTTTAGCGTATGCGGATAGTGTAGCTCGACCAAGCCCACTTCCCAGCTCCCGTCCAGGTCAATCGCCTTTGCTAGATGCTCTGTGAAGCACGTGCTGGTGTTCTTTGGAAACATCTTTGAGGATGAATTAGTGGCCAGCGTAACATAGAAGCCATTGGGGTTCATTTTTCACCACCTCTATATGTCTCGGATCTCGGAAGCCTTTACCCAACTATTGAATTTATCGCTCCAGCCGTGCCACTTTACCAAAAGCTGTTTGTTTTTGCCACGCCCACTGGCTGCTAAAATCTTTTGGCTGCGGTATATGTTCTCAACATTGGGGTTTATCTTCTGTAGCTCTTCTGCATAGAAGGAGCCCTTAATGTCATCACCAGCGTAGTCCTGCAGTTTGTAATAGGGTCTCAGAGCCGAGGCCCGTATTTGACAATGAAAATTTCATCTGTGAAGGTCTGTTCATATCCCTTCTCAAACACTCCCTTTATTTTGGACACCCGCACGCGATCACCCACATTAAATGAAAACTTTGACGGTTTTCTCTTAAAGTGTTCGTCATAGACCGTTCTCCACACATCAAGGGAGCTGTTGGCCATAACAGAAGCCGGGGTTCGTTTAATAGACGTGTGGTAACTATGGTTATAAGAGTAAATAAGATCTGATAGGACGTTGATATATCGAAAGGTGTTTTTTATGTCAGGTACCTCCACATTTTTGTTTTAATAGTTCTGTTAAACCTCTCGACCACGCTAGCCTTCACATCGCTGGCCCTAATGAAATGTTCAAAATTCTCACGTTTGAGAAAATTTTGGAAGGTCCTGTTAAGAAATTCTTTACCCTCATCCGTTTGTAGCTTTTTAGGAGCAAGCCCCTCTTGCAGTATTTCGGAAGGCGCCTGTCACGGCCCATCCAGACTTGGTTTTCATGTTAAGATGTAACAGAAACCATCATTGAACTCGCAGTGCTCTCTCATGTCCACCAAGTCGGCCTGCCATTGCCAGTCCATTTCAGACACCAACGTCCTGTTTCTCTTAAAGTGTAAGTGCACCGGCTTGTGCAGCGTATAAGCCGCCTGGCTGGACAACCACTCGGCCACCCGGCCACGGCTGGTGCCGCTCAGACCCCAGGATCTCGCGGCCCTCACCAGACTCCCCATGCCGCCGTAACTCCCCGATTCCCTAGGTTTATAATAGAGAGTGCTCAACCCCGCGGAAGACATGGTCCCCTTCCAACCCTAACACACGCTTTCATACACTTATTTATAAATCGAGGGCTGCGGCAGCCGGGGCTTTTGGACCCCGAGGCTCAGGCCCGACCGGCAGGGGGAAGGCGGGACATCCGACTCTTAACGACACACCATTGGCTGGCAACGGGGTGGGACATACGCCAACCGTGGACTCCCAGTGGCTGAAAAGGGGGGCATGGAACCTGTCAAAAAAGTTTGACGAAAGGTGATGCTTTATACTACTGACAGTGACAGAGATTAGGCACAAGGCAAGTTTGCAACTACCCAAAGGCAGAGGGTTTATTGGCCTTGTAGTTACAGAGGTGTGCCATGTGGTGCAATGAGGGCAAATGTTATGGGGATCCCCATTTTATAGGTTGCTGTAGGGGAGGAGAAGCTGATACAATTTAGGTCTGGAGGCAATGGCATAGTCCATAACTCCAGGGGGGCAACAAATATTGCATAGCCCACCTCCTTCCATTCCTCATCCTGAGAAACACTTGGAAAGAGGCAGAGTCACAGGAGGCGATTGAGAGAGAGAATTAAATCTTTTTTAGCAACTTCCGGGTGTCATACAGTGCTAAAAGTGTACATCAAGCCACCTAGCAGACAAATAGATTCCCCTCTGGAGTCTACCTAGGCCTCTGGAACCCCCGAAGAAAGCCTAACCCCAGTGTGCATGTCTCCTGAATGGGGACAACCCAGATTCCCATGGCAGATTCGTTCTTCCACCATCACGGTGTTCAACCCGAACAGGGTCTCTTCTCCTGTGTCTGTACTCAACTTCAGATCAGTACTAACTGGAATGTAGTAGTACATTCAGAGTCTACTGCAGACATGGACTACAGGTTGTGGACGAAAGGACTAGTGCTAATCGCCCAGATGACTGACTGAGGGCCCACTGAATTCCCTCCAACACTGGTCCCCATTTGCTTCCCTGCTGTGTGTGCTTGGTGTTCCTCTGGTGTCACTCTGGTGTTGCTCAACTCAGCACACTCCTCACATTTTTTGGCTTCTGCATGGGGTTTGGAACACATGATGCGGGTTAGGATAGTTAATTTTACTTACTTATCTGCTTGGTCATTTCTTGATGCTGCTACATACAGGTCAGTGAGCAATCACACAGTCCCTACCTATGGCAGGGAGAGCAGAAGTCTACAATATCTTCCCCTGTTGTAAGGATGATAAGGGGCCGACAATGTGAAAAATCCTCACGTAAACCAGATATGCAAAACAAGAAAACAGCAGGCAGTAAGGTGTGTGAGATAAAAGTCAGGGAAACACAGTCCAGATATATTGTTCATGAAGGCAAGGTCCAGGGCCGGGTGACGTTAAAGCACAAGAGGAAAAAACAAGGAAGCACAAGGTTAATCAGAAAATCAAATAAAAAGACTTGAGGTCAAAACACAAGTTTGAGAATCCAAACAGAGAGCGAGACAGGGAAGTAGGAATCCAGAGACTGTGGACTTGAAAGACTCAGAGTTAAACTTTATAACAGAGCCCCAAGCACTGCTCTGTGAGAGGTTTAATTGTCTGCTTCCCCAGGAGACAGGGAGGGAGGTGATTATCTACAGGTGAGACAAGCCTCCTGTCTGATTGTGTTTCCATGGCAATCTGCCTGATTGACAGGTGGAAGAGATGTGTGCAGGTGCTGACGTAGAACTAAGCTTACTCTGCAGTTCTCCCACAAGGACAGGCAGTAACCCCTTCTCAAAAGATGCACTCTGGATACCAAACAAAACAACAGGGGGAAACCAAGTTTGGGAGTTGTATACCAGAAGGAGGGCACAGAGCACTTTGAAGCAGAAAGTCTGATAAGCCAAAAACCCAAGCCCAGATTCTGCACCTTCCCTTCCCCCTCTTCGGAGTGTATGGGGAGATCTTTCACCAGGAGGGTGGATAAATGATCTTTTAAAAATTCTGTGGAGCAGTCAGTGAGCTACAGATTTGCCATTGCGTCACTTATCAGGGGTGAACTCAGCAGCAGGTCAAAAGTCCTTGGAGCATGGAAATACTGAATTAAGACCTTGAGAGGCTTACAGTTGAAGTAAGAGACAAGATGTAAAAAGGGTTAACTTAAGTCAGTTCTGCCTGAAAATTAGACTTCTAAGCAACAGGGGTTTATGGCAGATGCGAGCTAGGAACCCCCTGGGGGCGTAATCTTAAACTGACCATTTGGCCAGGGTCTTTTAACATTACTAAGAGGTAAGGACTCCTCTTTTTAAAAAAAAAAACTCCCGACTCTCTCTGACTGATTGGGAAGTCTCTGTTCCCTGTGAGAATCGCCCAAGATGACAGAGTAAACATGAGTTCCTGAATTCTTCTGGCCCGGGGAAGACACCGGTGTATGTAATGGGTGGTTTGTTGTAAGCCCAGAATTTGGTCTGGCAGGCGGTCCACGGTATTGTGTACAGGCGTTCGAAGCTGGTGTATGCCTTAATTGCGCGTGGAGTTTTCGAATGGGTTTTGGACCTTTACCGCGAAGTTCAGGACTGGTGTGGGCCTTAATTGCGCCCAGAGTTATGAAGTTCAGGACTGGTGTGGGCCTTAATTGCGCCCGGAGTTCTGAGGCTCAGGATCGGTGTGGGCCTTAATTGCGCCCGGGGTTCTGGAGCTAAGTGGTGCATTAAATGC